TGGCACCGCACGGCGATGCCCGCCCGTGCCCACGATCGGTCACGTTCAGGGACAAACCAGTTGTGCAGTCATCTTCTTGGTTCTTTTGGTAAAGTCACGTAGAAGAGAAATAATAAAATTATAAAAATAAAACATAATAAAATACAAAAAAAATTCAGTAGTGCGGTGTCCACCCACGCACAGATCAGCTGATGACTATGCATTAGCCCATTAGTTTTGTGGGATGTCACTTAATCCCTGCTTCGAATTGGATGCAGGCCACCGTTAACAATGAACCCCCGCTTTGCTCCCCCCCCCAGTTACTTATTAAATAAAGGATACCCGAGATGTGGTGCTGCCCCCCCCCCGTAATATCCTTCAGCAGGCTGTTGGGCCAAGGGGCTGTTGCGAACGCCCCTTGAGGCCTGTACGGCGCGCGAGGCTGGTGGCGGTGGTCGCAGCCTTTCCCTGCGTTCAGTTTGTGGCAGTCCTCGCTTGGAGCGTCGCCAGCCAATTGCGGCGAGCGCAATTTGCCGCGGGAGTTTGGGCGTCAACTCGGCCGTAAACGAGTGCCCGGTGCGATGTGCGTACATCATCCAATAATGGTGAATTGTGCGGTAACCAATTCAAACCGATTTAGTTATCAGATACTTCACTTTTTTGGGGTTTTTGCTTTGTCGTCTTTCCCCCACACCTCCCGATTATCACGGCTGGCAAAGTACGGTGCAAAAAAAGTTCAACATACATCTATACGTCTCCCGAGCGCGATGCTTTACACGCCGCACCAGGTGCTCATTTGAGGCTGAGTCGACCCGACGGAGGACCCAGGACCGGTTTCAGGTGTTGGCGAGCGACGTTGGCGGTGACCGGGAATCGAACTCGGGGACCCGCCGGGATTCATAGGGGGGGCGGTGGCGCACCGGTTAGAGTACTGCGCTCCCTCCTCCCCCCCCCAACACGCTATACACAACAGCAGAGGGGCTTCTCAGACAGATTTCACAACACACGTAAATAACCACATCGATATGCTGCAATGCAATGGCGGATGATGGAGCGTCTTTGTGCGGTCGCGTCTCTCACGGTTCTGTGCAAATAGCGGGGGGGGGGGGGGGGCGATTGAATGGAGGGTGGGGTGTGGAAGGGATTTTTCTGGATTTTTGTTTCAGATCAGAAGGGATTGTCGAGTGAAATGCTACACAGGGCCTGAAGGAGACACGACGACACATCGGCGGCGAGTGGCATTCGAATCGAACTTGGTGAACGTTTCGTTCGTAAACACGGCCTTAATATACACGTGTAAAAGGGAGATTTGTGAATATGTGTGTGTCTGTTCGAAACGTTTAGCATACTTCCCAACATGCAACAGACTTGAAATTTGGCATGTGGGTAGCTTGCAGACTGTACACAACGCAAAAAGAATAAAAATAGACTTTTGTATTTTTTTTTGGGGGGGGGGGGGCGCAATAATGGATATATTGTGAGCGGTGACGTCACATCTGTGAAAATTTTTTAAAAGTAAACTTATAGCTTAGTTTCACACACAAACAATCACTCTCACAACGGAAGGTGAACAGATAAGTAACGTGCTCGCATAGGCGGGCAGTAAACGCACGAGTGAATGACGCAGTTTGGTTTCACACACACACACAGAGTCTCGTACAGCAAGGTGAATAGATGCACACACGTGGGTAGTCCACGTACGAGCGGATGAGGGTAAAGCGAGCCGCAAAGGCCCCTGGGAAGGGGAGGCGGGGGCAGCGATCGCACTCTGGGAGGACGCTTACCAAAGTCGAGCGGGGGGAGGGTATCCGAAACGCGATGGGGATATACACACACACACA